CACAGCAGTTTCTTTACTCGGTCTAAACTACTATTTTGCATTTTATGTTAATGCGAATAAATGAAACTGCTTGGATTAGGGGATGGTCTTAATAAAAATAGCAAATCTCTGGGAACCTTTTGGGTCTCAAAAACCAGTTTCATCTAAACAAAAATGAACCACTACAACAGGAAAATAAAACTCATTAAATAAAGTGATGTTATAAATAATGCTGATGGGAGATTTTTTTTCTACAAGTAAGTGTATGGACAAATTCACAATATGAGAGCTTAGAAATAGCTCTCCTGGCATTTTATCATCTTTAAATCACACTAATTTACCGTATGTATGCTAACTGATTTATAGAGTTATTTATACAAATGATATGGGCACCTAAAACATAGATTTCTTTTAAATATATTGCAAGGTGACATCACTGTATCTGTATTACCAAACTTTATTGTTTTGGGATAGTAGGAATTACAGTGGTTATCTCTAACACTATTTACCTTGTTTTCCATATCTATCTGTGGGAAAGTCTGGGCCTAATGTTCTGGTTCTCTCACTGGTGAAACTTCAGCTTCACAAATGCCACAGTGTCATACCGGAGATCTGCAAAGTTTCTTCACATGTGCTGAGATTAACCACCTACGAGCTCTGTCACACAACAACACCACAATTCTGTAAAGAGAATCAGCTGCTGTACTGACCAAGGGACCTGAAGAAGTGACCACGTAGAAGAAGTACTTTAAGAAGGTCAAGGACTTTTGAATACTGTGTGCTAGCCCACTCTGTTCTTCTTGGACATTTGCTGAAAGAAGTTTCTTATAGAACACAGACCCTTCTTTGTTTTAAGACCTTTGTGGAGCAGTAGAAAAGCAATGGCTATAAAGAACAAAATAAGTCAAAGATACATTAGGCATCATACAAATGTCTCCCTTTTCCAGGGGGATCTCAGCTATTATAATAGCCATTAAAAATTTATAGTTATAGATTTAAAAAGAATAAAAAATAAAAAAAGAGATGAGCTGTTTCTATATAGATCAAATAGCATCATCGTGCCCTGAAGGCACAGGTGCTGTTTTGCTCTGTCTTCCCACACCTGAGCTTAAGACAAGGAATTCAATAAATACAATTGTTTATTCAAGTGGAACCAGATTCTTAAAGGAAACGGACAGAGTTTTTCAATTAAAGTGGCACTTGCACTTGAAGCACGGTCTTTCTGCCTTCCTAACACAGGACACTCTGGAAAACAACCTAAACCAAGCCTGTAGTTTGGTATTGCATTCCATAGACACATGAAGGAAACAAGGGTCTCAGTGTTGCTCAGTTATTTGGAGGGGATGTAGGAAGGCAGGAGGCACTCGGCAGTCTCTGTCATCACAGGGTCCCTCCTGCAAATTTCCCTGATGGTTCCAGGTAGTTTTAAGCTTCACTCCTCACTCTGGCAATACCCATCTAAGCCACCTGTTACGACGAGGATTTGCCAGGCCTCCAGGTAGACTGAAGAGCAGGGGACTGCAGAATTGACTAATAATTTAGGCACACACACAGAGGGGATATAAACATTCTGTGGGTAATCTGTTTACTGGTTTCGGTTGCTTTCTAGACAAAGCAGATCTCATGTAAAACAAGCATTTTACCAGTGATGATACACAAGTCTTGTATGAAGTGAACAGATTAAGCTATTTACGTTCAACTCCTGAAAGCACTCCAGAAAATTATGTCTATGTCAGAAATCTTATTAGGTTTCAGAAGAGGTAGGAAAGCTTCAGCCTAATCATAAGATAGAAGGTCTTCAGGCTTTTGAGAATGACATCTGAAGGGCATCGAGACTGTTTTCTAAAAAAGGAAAGGGCAAATTTCCAGTACATATATAATCACTGGTAGCATTTGTGTTGTCATCCTCTCTAAAGCAGTAACAAAGTGCACAAATGGTGGATGATTAGAGAGGTCAGTCAAGTGTCCCATTCAGCTGTAATTGTAGAGTTTTTAAAAATTCTTTTGACATCAGAAAATATCATATTTTTTTTAACCCAGCTTTTTGCTATGATTAGTTAATTCATGCAAAATCAGCGAAGAAACAGAATGGCAAATTAAAAGCAGTGTAACAGGAATGTCATTTTGCAGTAGCGACAAGTAATCAGCAAAATCAGTTCACTGTAAAATTACTGCTACCTGTCAATGTTTAACTCCACATGCACAGAACCTTGGCAAATTTTTATTTAAAATACTGCCACCCAGCAGATCTGGAAACTGTTTTGAAAAAAACTGCTGTCCCCTGTACACTTTTGCTAATGCTGCAATCATTATCCTCTTTTCCTGCTCCCACTAGAGCACTTCAAGAGATTTCCCTGTCTCCCAAAGAAAATCTAAATGCACTGTTTTATTTAATTAACATAAATTTTAAACTATCATGCCTCACAAAATCTGACAATCTTCCTAATAAGGAAATGATGGTTTTTCCGTAATAGTATTTCAAAACAAGTTCTGTTTTCCATTTCATCATTTTTCTGCCTGGGTCTTAAAAGAGAGTTTTTGAGTAATGAATGGACATATGCTCTCCAATTTTGAAGCAAATTAAATTAGAGAATAGTCACATTGGGAAAATAAAAATATAATCTGCCACAGACCAAATAGCAGTTTTCATTTCAGTAATATTCTTCAAAACAAGGAATTATTCCAATTGCTTATAGCGGGTTAAAAGGGGTGGAATCCTTCTGTCCAAGTGTGACTGGAGTTTTCAGTCCAGAAATAAGTGAAATGAACCACATGATGTTATCCTTCTCATCAGCTGAAAGTCTAAATTATTTATACACTTTCTTGTTTTGGGAAAAGATGAAACTAAAATAAAAGGAATACATGGTAGGAGTGACATGGAACTGGGGAAACAAAGTGTCTTGTGCTGACTTATCAGTTTGAAGGAAAAAAGATTTTAAAAAACAGTCTGGTGATCACATCCTTAAATTTTGTGTAACTTTTGTAATTCCGGACCATGAGGGATGAAGCTGTTGGCAGGCTTAGGTATAATTTAGAATTTCAGAAAAATGTCTCTGTAGTACAGTCTTGATCACACATCAGTAACATATTCAGAGCTCTATGTGAATGATTTGTCCTGTGAACTTTACTTCAATAATAGAAAGAAACTATGTTGAACATAATAGGTTGTAACTGTGATGTGAAAAGGTGCTTTCAGTGTACCTAAAATTTAGCATGGGGCTTGTGTCATTGATGAGGGAGAATGAGGGAGTTCAAATGATCCCCAGACAAACATTCGTAGCATCTTAAATGTTGTGGCTGACACTAAATGCTTACAGTCATTTCAGTTTTTAGCTAATGGTTGTTTGCCTGCCATTAACAACCATTTGGATGGAGTCTCTGGGAGACTTAATATTGCTACCTCCAGTTTTATCTTATTTTATTTTAGGACATCTTTTTTTCAAAGAGTTTTTTTTTTTTTGTTCAGGGTTGCTACAGAAGTCCAGGATAGGAAAAGGTTTTAAATGTTAATGTCTTGCCTACTGAAGGATTTGCAAAGAAAATGGTGAATCCTTTGACTTTGCAGTGCATAAGATTGTTTGGGTTTTCTCCACCACTATGTCTATCTACTTATTTGTTACATTGTTTTTTTACAGTATATGAGGTATGGGCAGTGTCTCACATGCAAAAATACCAGTGGAAGAAAGTGAGCAGCAGATTAATGCTGTGACCACTGAAATCCATAGCAAAAGGCATGCACAATCAGTGGCAGAAAGAATAAGCTTGAGGAAATTATTCAGATCTTTCCAAAGTCCTTCTACATACAATTCTACATTTGAGCTAGTTAAAACATTAATTTTCCTTATATAATAATCATTATACTTCTGCAGGACACATTGTACACATGTTATTAATCAAAAAGGAAATTTGCTAAGCCCACTGAGACAACCAGGTACAGAAAGTTATGTCTGGGTTGATCTTAGTTTGGCTGAAGTTCAGATCCAGTGTTTCAAAGTAGAAAGGAAAAAAAGCTTTCAATATTATGTAAAGCACAACAGGCTGTAGGCACACATATCTCAGAGCAGCCAACAGGAGTGTTCTGTGGCGTATAACAAGATCTCTTAGAATCATATGCACAAAGATCCTTGTGTTCTTATAAAATGTACATCATTAACAAGCAGTTTAACAATTTGACCAGACCCTAATATATATTCTAACTGTATAAAGCATAGTAGCCAGTAACCCTTTGCTCTGTATGTCAGCTCTTCTTTCCCCTGTTTAAAAAAATAAAAATAAAAAAAAAAGTGAGGAGGGCAAGGGGTGGTTCTTGCAGGTTTCTCTGAGTCTTTATACAAACAGTCCTGACAGTATCCAAGTCCTCTTGACTCTGTAATATTATACAATCTCCTTTTCAAAATAAATGGAAAGCTACAAAGCTTCCAGAAGTATTGCATTTTGTATAGGCAATCCCTCGCTCTAAAGGACTTTTTTTCCCTTATTTTTGATGATTTATACTCTCTTCTAAGCTACTGCTGTAGTTTCCATAGTAAATGGTCTTTGATTTAGCTCATGGTTATCAATGAAAAAACGCCTGAAACACAGCAATGTTTCATACATTGTTTATCAGCCATTTGCCAGTGACACAAAGAACCGCAGGTGAAAGGAAAGATGAATTTAAATACATTCATTTTCATTCCTGTGCTTTCAAGCTGTTTGCCTTGTAGAAAAATTAGACATCCCAAAGCTGATAAATGTGACTGACAGTGTTAAATATAGAGTGACTTCAGACATTTTCTTTCTGGTTTGCAGTAGATGTGACCTCACCAGGTGGTAGCTGTCAGGCAGCTGTTTCCTCAGATCCTTGCTTTTCACTATATTTCTCTGCAGGTTCATGGGTCTGCACTCATCACAAGTTATTTTAAAGTTGTCCACTCTGTATTCTACACATCCTCAATCTACTGAAAATAGATTTAAGTTCCACTGAGGTGTGAATGCAAAGGGAATCTGAATCCAAATATTTCTCTTTTTTTTTTTTTTTGCAGCCGGACCCTGCAGGCAGAGATATCTCCATCCGACCAATCTTGGAGCACTGTGAAAACACCCACATGACAATTTGGCTTGGGATTGTCTACGCTTATAAAGGGCTGCTGATGGTAAGCATAGCATGTTCTGCACAACACTGATTTCAAACTGCTATTTATTGATAGGCACGAACTGAATTATATTTACTTTCCTGGTGGTTGGGAGCGAGTTAAGACTGCACTGAGCACAACTTTTAAAATGAGATCTGTTGTAAAGTTCATTAGGCAATAATATGTGGATATATGCATGCATAAAATAAATAAGACTTTAATAGCACTTAGCTGAGCGCCATAGATATACCATAAACCAAGAAATTCAATAATGAGAAGATGGGTCTATAAATGAGGCAACTTTGTAAATAAAAAGACCAAATCATCCAAATTCCTGTATATTCTCCAAAAAAAAGGTAGGATGAGGTTGTTCTAGGTGTTCGCCTCTGAGTTGGAACTTGCCTGCAGGAATGGTCACAGGATGCAAGATTAATCTGGGGCCTGAATTATAATAAAATAACCCTTTTGTCACAGAGGCCCATCTCCACAAAAAGATTTAGTTACTAAAACCGACCTCAGGGACCAGGAACCCTGAAGCTTGATAGTTAATTAAAAAAAAAAAAAAAAAAAAAAAAACCCTGTAAAGGTGACTCTTAGTGTTTAAAAGCTTCTAAAAGGTTTTGAAAACATCTGATTTTGACAGCAATGACCAGCAGAACACCTATCTTGAGTTGAGCCCCAGCTGGATCCTAAGCCTAGATAAATATTAGTCTACACTGCCCGAAGGATTCAATCTGTTCTGTGCATTTGTAGCATGCTGGTTCATCGGGACACCCATGAAAGATTGGGTCAGCTGCTTCCACCCAGCGTGGTTGGTGTTGCTGCCTGGGGCTAATCCAGGGAGAGAGAGCTGCTGGTGCCTGGAGTCCTCCTCTTCCTTCTCCACTATGAATGACGGCTCTGCTGAGTCCTGCGGCTTTTCATGCTGCTTTTTTCTGCCTGAAAGCTCTTTAAATACCCAAGATAAAGTTCAGCGGGGAAGGATGAATGATTTTGTTTCTTTTAAGTTCTGAACAGTTGCTTTGTGGTCAGACTGGTCTGCTGGGGTGAGCCTTCAGGCAAAGAAGGCACTAGCACCAAGTGCTTCCAGCTCCCAGATGAGAGCTCTGATCCTGAAGCTACTAGCCAGAAGGAAGTCTTCTCATATTTCCATTTAGAAATTAAAAAAAAAAACAAAAAACAAAAAAAAAAAAAAAAAACCAACCAAAACAAACAACTTTAGATGTATATTCTTCTTTTTCAGTGAATGTCCAAGCAGGCTGTGAAATCAAGAGCTAGGACATACTTGATCCCTACAGAGGGATCAGGAATTAGGATAGATTCCACACCTCAGCATGTCTTACTGTGTAGCTCTGGGTGGCTCTGGAGAAGTCAGTAGCCATGACATTGACCAGCACCGGAGCCACAGTTTGACAGTAAGATATAACTGTCCATCGGCATAAAACATTATTCTTTATGCAAAACACACAGCACACAACCCAAAATTGTACCAGAACATTATATGTGCAGCTTCTACACTCATGTGGAGCTGGGAGCTTCTGAAATTCCTACTTATATTCCTTTGTTTGATTCTTCCTAGTCTGAATAGTACCAGTTTCTGATTTTTTCTCTTTTTTAAGACACAGCTTCCAAAGAGGTACAGTTAGACTGGAAAGCATAGCCTTAGTACCCAGTTCGCTGGCCAGGTATTTAACTTTACTGCAATATTTGCATACTTTGTGCTGGTGTCTGTTTGGTCTGTTTGTATCTGTTAGGTCATTGGTTTATCTTCAGGGATGAAGTTCTTAACTTTTCATCCCTTTTCTGGTATATTACTTTACTCATGTTTTGACATACCTGCCCTTCACTTAGGAGGCCATATTTAATTTCATAAGACTTGCCTTAGATAATTTGTTAAAAGCAAAAAAGTTTTCCCTACTTCTGTTACTTTCTAATCCCCTTGTATAGAAATTTTAAACAGTTCATTTTGCTTTATTCCAGATAGAATTTACCAATGTTTCTTATACAAGTGCTTAAGACATTTTTCTCTGTGAATATGTCTGAAAAGTAAACAAGTAAATATGCTTGGTTCTCCTAAGGTCGTATAAATAAACAAATCAAATTAAAATCTCTTTAAAAGTACTCAAGGATTCAAACAAATGGTAGGGTGTTTTCTGCTTAGATTGGATTGGGTTTGGGTTTTGGGGTTTTTTTGGTAAAACTAACTTCAATAATGTTTTCAATTAAAAATTGGGGAGAGAAAATAGCAGCATAATTTTTTAATATACATTCTCAGACAATTTTCTTTGAAGTTTCAAGTTTGAGTTGTGTTGGACAGTAATCAAACTGCCTTGGTTCTCACTAGTCTGTTGCCCTAGATTGGTTTGTCAACATGTACACTGGACTATTTTCTACAAAGTATTTGACTCTTTTTAAGTCTGCAAGCATCATTTGCAAACTTATTTTGCAAATGCCATTACTCACTATACTTCTTTCAGGCACAAAGTGTTTCATAACCACCAGTGAAATATACACTTTTTATTACTCCATTGCCCTCTTATCACACGAATCACTACATAAGAAAAAGGATGATATTCATCTGAGTAATTTAAATAATTGTGATGGTGAGTGATATGAGGACAACAGAATTGATGTGTTTTATCTCATAATTTGCCTTCAGAACAAAAACCAAAACCTTTCATGTTACTGTATCATTTTATAAAGCTTTATCTAATACAAAATTGTGTGGTTTGTAATAATAAAATACTTATATCTAATTTAACTTGCTACATACTAAACATCTAATTACAATTAGCAAAGCAGTATTTAAGGTGAAATGGCTTAATGATTTGCTTGGGCCAAAATTGTTTACCATGACCTCTTGTCTCAAAATGGGAATTCGAAAAATGGGGTTAACCTAAAAAAAACTTTTCTTTTTGGCTTGAAGTACAAAGTAATACTGTCCATTCTGATGTCTTAAATGCACTGAGGCAGTGAATAAATCACTCAGGGTAGGGCAGAGCACAGAAGGGCAGGGAAGGCAGGGTAAGGCAAAATAAGGGAAGGCATTACTCGCCAGGATGCACCAGTTCCCTCTGTATTAAAGTAAGCAAACTTTAAAAGCCAGATTCACAATTCTTCAGCTGCCTTTGAGGGGATGTGAGGAAGTGCTTACTAACTGCATGACAGCTTATCAGTTATTGGATTCATATTCCTCAGGACTGGTGACTAGAGAATAACAGGAAGGTGATCATCCCAAATCTTGCCTTTACCATTGTGTGAGTCTTCTTAATGACCAATTTATTAGTCTTCTCAAATTCCCCTATATTTATGGGATTCAGTGTTTTCTCCCATCTCAGGTTCAGCTCCTAAAAGGCTACATACAAGTTCAAGTCTGTCTGCATGTACATGTTGTCCATCCAAGTGTTGCAGTAGGCTCTCAGTGTATGAGAGAAGGCAAAGGTTTTTAGTGTTAAGTGAACATGTTTCCAAATGGCTTTTGTAACTCTTTTGCAAACTCACCTTCTTCTTCCCAGGATTCTTAATCTTATCTCTGCCTTTGGAATGTCCTGAGAGATACCTGAAAGTCTCCCTATCGGTTGTTAACCCTTTCTTGTCATTGGTTGGTTTGTAAGACCTCCTGGGCTCCTAATGGTCACTTTATAATCCCCTCAAGAGCTATTTATGTCGCTACCCAGAACAATAAACTCTCTCTGCCTCTCTGCTCGCTGCTGCTGTCTTGTGGTCTCCATGGGGACCATGGAGACCTCGTGGTGGGGAGGAGGGGGAGGGTACCTTCCCCTCCAGGACTAGGGGTTTAGCCCATTGCCTGGAGTCCCCCTCCCTATCCAACCTCAACGTTCACATCACAGAATCACAGAATCAATTAGGTTGGGAAAAACATCTGAGTTCATTGAGTCCAACCTATGACCAAACACCACCACGTCAAATAGACCAGTTGCATGTCAGCTACTCAATTCTAGTATGTCCAGCTTTTGATTTCTGATGATGTAGACATAGTTGAAAAGTGCCTTTATTTCATATATTCCAAAGAATGATAGAAGACACACCATCTTAAACTTGTCAGCAGTGTGCTGTTAGTGAGTGCACTAATATATTTCTGAGGGGTATAAGTTATTTTTCAGATTTTAGCCAGAACAATACCAGATTGGACTCCTCTAAAATGCTTTGCTTAATAATCACACACACTAGTCTTGTCTAATATTTGATTCCTCCCTTGCTGATAATGCTTTTAATTAACGTTAAACTCAAGGCGTACATACGTTGGAAGTTTCATTGTGTCCCTGACATAGTATTACAGGTACTGTTAGTAAGCTACTGAGAAACAACCTTTTGTGGCAAAGGTGTATTTTCAGCTTGACTGTTACTCTCTATATCAAATCTTACTTTTTTTCCTGTAAGTGTTAATTGAGAAGTTTTTAAGCCATAATAATACTGACCACTTCTCATATGCTGTTTTCAACGTATCATCCTTAGCTAACCTTGCTAAGGATGAAAGTATCAGAATTTCATGGTAGAGATAGGAAAAAAATAATGCATATGCATCATGGGACTTGATAAAGGTCACTAAGAATAAAAAATTTAATTTCTTCTAATGATTCCTATTCAAACATTCCAGTGGCCACTATAGTTGATATACTGCACAACATAACTCTGTAATTGATTTATGAAGCCAAGTAAAGTATTAATTCAACTAAAATATATCCTTGGGATAATGTTCGATCTTAATTTCAAGTCTGAAAGAATCCTCTGTGTTCTGAGGCTCTCTAATCACTAAGCTGAATATGTCTTACTTTCAAACCTTGAACCTTGGTGGTCTTGTATATATTTTATCCCTCTTTCTCTAAAATGAACTGATGCCTTTATTTCTAGGCAAACTTCCCTGCATTTGGCCAAATTTCTGTGGTTTTTCTAAAAATCATGCTGCTTCATGAAGGTGACATCTATGAGTAGCTCCTCTTCCGCTTCCTCTGCATCATTTTCATCCGTGATATTATAGTCTCCTTCGAGTCAATGTACAT